CTAGGTACGTGCAGGAATCGACCCAGTGAACCAAGGTGGGCGGCGCAGCCAGATCTCTTCGTGTAGGCTGCCCTGTAAGAAAGCTGTGCTGAAGTCAAGAGAGTGAAGCTCGTAGTCACGCTGAGCGGCAACGTGCAGCAATACCCGAAGAGTGGTCATCTTCGGGGTAGGGGAGAATATCTAGAAGAAGTCAACTCCCTATCGCTGACTAAAGCCTCGTGCAATGTAACGAGCCTTGAAGACAGGCGGAGAAACCCGGCGGCCACTTCAGCCTGAAAATCCACATGCCATCGACTATGTTCGCCCCAGGAGGGGGAACTGCGTCGACGTAAGTGCCTGTGGACTTCCAGGATGCCATCTCTGCGTGCATGGCTGTCTGCCACTGAGAGGAGTAGGGACCCGTAATCGCCTTTGCGTAAGAGCGCGGGGTCGGGATGTCCAGTGCATCCGGGTCTCCCTCAGGTGCAAGCAGCATGGCCACGAGATGAGGTACAGCAGCTGCAAGACACTCAAAGTCCTCTTGCATGTCCTCAAGGACGTCCGTGCCACGAGCACACTCACCCCCGACGGACGGAGGACAGACAGACTCAGACTCAGCAACAAGACTAGCGGTGTAGTCGAGACGACACGCAGCAGTAAACTCAACAAGCTCAGCAACTAGGGCGGACGCATCAGTGGACTCAAACGAAGGGTCGGTGACAACAGTGGCTAGAAGACGTGTGACAGTAGGACTGGCAGCACGAACCAAGTCAGACTCAGAGTCTGGACCGTCCGCAAGAGAGGACGCAGGAGGAGACGGCATGGGAACTCGCAGTGGAACAGAGGGAGGACGAAGTGCCATAGTGTGAGTGCCGGGGACAGGGGGAGGACGCGGACGAGGAACACGCTGACCAGTGTGAGCAGCGCGAACAGGCGAGGTAGGACGAGACGCAGGCTCACGCCGCTCTGTAAGAGAGTCCGACTGCTCAGTGTAAGGAGAAGGAGCAGGGAGTGGGGAGTCTGGCTGTAAATGTGGCTGCAACTGGTCAGGCGGTGGACACAGTAGAGGTGGAGTAAGGCCAGTAGAAGACGGGAGACTAAGAACCTGGCGAAGCAGTGGAACGAAAAACGGTTGCCGCCGCACAGTGCCTCCAGCACCATTACCGACAGCTCCAGCACCTCAGCGCCAGCACCTCCAGCTCCAGGGTCTCCAGCTCCAGCGCCTGCAGCTCCAGGGTCTCCAGCTTCACCGCCTGCAGCGCCAGGGTCTCCAGCTCCAGCGCCTCCACCTGCATGGTCTCCAGCTCCAGCGCCTGCAGCACCACCAGCTCCAGCAGTTCCAGTACCTCCAGTACGAGCACCTCCGGGACAGCAGCTCCATCACCTCCAGCACCATTAGCACCTCGAGTACCAGCAGCACCACCAGCTCCAGCAGCTCCAGTACCTCCAGTACTAGCACCTCCAGGACCTGCAGCTCCAGCACCTCCAGCACCTCCAGCACGTCGAGTACCAGCAGCACCACCATCTGCGGCAGCTCCAGTACCTCCAGTACGAGCACCTCCAGGACCAGCAACTCCAGCGCCTCCAGCTCCAGTGCCTCCAGCGGCAGCGTCTCCAGTGGCAGGCCCCCCAGCTACAGCAGCGCCACTCCGAAGGCGGGTGCGCCGAGCAAACCAGTCGCGCAGCTGCGGTGGAGAGAGAGGCTCCTGCCGTGACGAGGCACCCGTAGGACCTCTAGCAGACACAGTACCTCTAGGCTCAGCACCCCCACACTCAGCACCCCCAGGCTCCGCACCCTCAGGCTCAGCACCCCCAGGCTCCACACGCTCAGGCTCAGCACCCCCAGGCTCCGCATGTTGGTGCAACCCCTACGGTTTGCACTCGGCTTGTTGACCGTGTGCGTGCATGCGTGTGTGCATGGAATGGTATGAGTGCATGAAATAAATATATATTTTATGCTTATAATAGTGTGTGTATGATGGGTCATGACGTCGAGTGTGTGTGTGTCAAGTCAATAGCGATTTATCGCTAGTCGCGTGTTACGCGGTCATTTTGTGTGTCCCGCGCGGTTTCTGTTTGTCTTGCGCGGTTTCCATTTTGTCCTGTGTCAAACATTCGGCGTGTCGCAGGTGTGTGCAGCAGACCCATCAAGAACTCAAGGATGAGTTTGTGATGAAGAACCCGAGCCTTGGTTTCAAGCGTCAAGTGATTTCGAAGCTCGCCAAAAGGGTACACTTCAAGATATTGAAGGTAGTTACATTACAATGTGTAGTGTAACATTTCTCTTGGTGTAGGCCCTTGTGAAGGGTAGTTTCGAGACCCTTCTTGGTTGGGGACAGTGTGGCACTGTTCCACATCACTGTACATCGGCTCTTGGGGTTTGTAGGAGCTGGGAGTCATTCACAACTCCGAACTCTTCCTAGTTCTTCCTAATTGTGTGTTCTAAGACTATATTGCTGCCATAGTGCCATTCGTTCAAACCGACGCTGTGTCGTCAATTCTTGATGAGCTTGTGCGATCTAAATTGCCTATTGTAGGCGAAGTTACGACGCTCCAGATCCAAGTTGAATCAGGTTATTTGGAGCTAAGACCATATCCCTATGAACGTTTAAAGCCGTTGTGCAGATATCCGACTATGCACATTATCTTTGGTTCTAGGCACATTGAAGCCTATTGTGACCATAACACCGCACCCTCAGACTCAGCAACCCCAGGCTCAGCACCACCAGGCTCCTCACGCTCAGGCTCAGCACCCCTAGACGCAGCACCCCTAGCAGCACCACCCCCAGCAGCACCAGAGTCGACAGCGACCTCGACAGGCACAGCCAAGGGGAGTGGGTCTACCTGAGACACACCTGAGGGAGCAGGACCCTGAGGGGGGAGGGGGTCTACCGGAGGGGGACTTCGGGCGAGGAAGAGCGGCGGGGTGGGGGGGAGAGGGGCAGTGCGGTAGGGGAAGAGACGTTAAAAGGGAACCGACTCATCAAACGTGACGTCCTGAGAGGGCAAGACACGGCACGTGGTGGGGTGGTAAAACTGCCAGCCAGGCGCGTCAGGGGGAAAGCCAAGGAAGACACAGGGAATGGCACGGGAGGAGAGCTTGTCCGCGGAGGTATCGCGGACAAAGGCACGAGAGCCCCAGACCCGGAACACCGACGCATCACCAACCTCCCCCGTCCAGCGCAGTGTAGGCGAGGTCTCCGGCAAGGAGACACGAAGCCAGAGGTTGAGCTGATGAGCAGCGTACCGGACCGCAAACAGCCACAGCTGCAGGTGCGCTGGCAAGTTGCCAGCTGCGTTGGCACGTCGTCGACTTGCAGCGCTGGCACGCTGCCTTTGTGCTGCGCTAGAGGTTGACCTGCCTGCTTTTTAGGTTGCCTTGCATCTGATGTAGTCCTCTTTGCCTAACCATTGTGTATCATTGTTCTCAACTTCTGCTAGTGAAACTCTTGCCGTTTTGCCCCGTAAACACGCAAGTACTAGAAAACACAAGGAATGCTACGATCACTTGTACCACCCCTGACCTCCCACGTAGCCCAGTCTAAACCATTAGGTATGGACTCATTTACAGCCCAAGACAGGCTACGGAGGTACCGGGAGGGGAGGAGTCATCAATGGAGGCAAACGTGCGAAATCTTCGTGAAATCCCCACTAAGCAATAGCCCTACAGCAGAAACAAGAAAAGAAGTGACGAGGGAGAGGCTGGTTTTTATCAGGCGGATCCTGGTGGGGTCTGCCACACGAGTGGGTGGGCAGCAAGACGCAAAGGAATTATGGGATGTAAGGCTCAGATATCTGGTGCGGCGGCAGCAGTGCGGTGACTTATTGCTGAAACCATGGCGGAACTTGGAGCTGAACTTGGAGGAAGAGGTCCGGCCAGACTAGCATTGAAGCCTTTTGCAGCTGCCCCTAAAAGATGGAGAAGCCTCTTGTTGTCCCCTCCACCAAACTCGGCTGGCTCTTCTTCCCGTAGGACAAAAGGGGGGCGCAGTTATCAATGAGGAAGATGAAAAGTTGCTGGAGCGGAGAGCGCATACAGTCACAAAGGTGGAATGGGCGGGAAGGTGGAATGGGTCCATCATTTGGCGAAATGTGGTGTGCATCCTGGAATCTCCCGCTATGCTATTCCCAACCTCCGAAAGGATGTCCTCATTCGTGTACTTAACTTGAATTTGCAAGTCGGGGAGGGACTAGCTGTCCTCAGCGCGAAGCCAGTCTGCTCGCATTGACACTTGAGCATTGCCCGGTCCGCGCATCAAGACGGTGGTGGTGGCCCTTCAACATGCTCTCGGCTAGCTAAACCTACTCCGCGCTGTGTCTTCACTGGGGGACCTTCTCTTTCAGAAGGCACGATCCAGTTCAGCCTTACCAGAAGCGACACTCGTTGCCATCACCCTTCACCAGCTTTGGTTGGAGGAGAGATGCGAGGTGGTTTTCAGGGCCGAAGATTACGTGCGCACAGAGTTCTGAGGAGAATTGTGTTTGCCTTTCGTCAGCATGCAAGGGTCTACACGGAGATGATGTGGAGGAAAGGGAAAGGCGCGGAGGAACAGCGGATGCTGGGTTTAGTTGATGTGGACAATCCAAGAAATGTGTTCCATAAGCCGTAGACACCTTATATGGGGCAGCACATCCTATCCCCTCACGCACAGTTACGACTGTTATTCGTAGTAGTTTGCACTTGTTGTCGGTGTATACTATCCAATCGCCGTATCAAAAGGTATTCCTTTGCTAATCCAACTTTGCTCCAATATTGACACCTTTCTGCAGAGCATGCTAATCGGCTTATGTCAGGATGCCGTTGTCTCCTTTCGTTTGTTTATTTCTCCATGATTGTATTGCAAGAGAAACAATCAGCACTTAGGAAAACACAACACAGCTCTACGGTACGACTAACAAGGAAAACCTTATCTCAAATGGATGAAGTTGTCATACCCTGCACGAGCATGTACAGGAGCAGGACAGAACACATAGGAGACCCACAATATGTCAGATGAGGCGGAAAACCAAACACAGCCATCCTACATCAACACTGTCTGTCCCACCTTTGGAGGCACTACACACCTGCTAGCAAGCAGCTTGGAGCATCCATGGTTGCCATGCTGCAGCGCCACTTGCATGGGCGTCCGGCCCTCAGCATCGGTCACATTCACCACCGCTCCCCACAGCAGCAGCAGCTCCACCATCGCCTCGTCGCCCCTCTCACACGCCACATGCAGCAGCCTCTGCCCCGTTCTCCCCGCACCGCCTCTTGTGGTCCCCGGTCCAGCTGGCGCCGTGCTGGCGACGACCCCGACCACATCAGCGTTGACGTCGACGGGCGCGGTGACGAGGAGGCGGAAGGCGGAGCGCACGTCACAGGAGGCAACTGCTGCTCGCAGGTGGTGCAGCGCGGTCAAGGGGTTGTCGGTGGCGGGCGCTTGGTAACGGCGCTCCACATACTGGAAGGTGGTGGGGTGGTGGCATGGGGGACGGTGGAACGGGGGAATGGGAGAGGGAAATAGAAGAAGGGAAATGGGATTTCACAGTGCAAGGCGAGAGTGGTACTGTTCACTTAGCACACGTCGCAGTCGCAGGGGCCGGAAAGGCGGAGCGGACATCGCAGGAGGCGACTGCTGCTCGCAGGTGGTGGAGTGCCGTCGAGGGGGTGTCGGTGGTGGGCGAGAGGAAGCAGCGCTCCACATACTGGAAGATGGTGGGGTGGTGGCATGGACCGGTGGTGGCATGGACGGGTGGTGGCATGGACCGGTGGTGGCATGGACTGGTGGTGGCATGGACCGGTGGTGGCATGGACTGGTGGTGGCATGGACTGGTGGTGGCATGGACTGGTGGTGGCATGGACGGGTGGTGGCATGGATGGGTGGTGGCATGGACGGGTGGTGGGATGGCATGGGGAGGAAGGAAGGGGGAAAAGGGGGAAGGTTGAAAAAATAGTAACGGGGAGGGGAATACACAGTACGAGGGGAGTTTGCTGCTGTTCACACATGGCACATCGCATGAGGCGACTGCTGTGCGGAGGTGGTGCAGCGCAGTCGAGGGGGTGTTGTTGGAGGGGGTGTTGTTGGAGGGGGTGTTGTTGGAGGGGGTGTTGTTGGAGGGGGCGAGGAAGCGCCGTGCCACGTACTGCAAGATGGGGGGGAGGTGAGATTAGGGGGTGGCAAATAGTGAGTCTGTGTCTTTGAGGGCCAACGAGTCTGTGTCTGCCAGCTTGACTGTTGATCCGACTGAAAAGCAACACTAAACCGTAAACCCTGCACGCGCGCGTCCCACTTACCCACCTTGCAACTGATGTATTCCCTTTCACTGCAACGGGTCCGTGCCTGCTGGCTTGACTCTGAAGTGAAAATCTCCTCAAAGGTGACTCTAAACCTTAAAGCCTGCACATGTGCATCCCACCCACCTTGCAGTGAATGTACCGCTCTTTCACTGCCAGCGAGTCCGTGTCTGCCGGCTTGTGCATCACAGCAGGCGCTGCTGCTGCTGAAGCGAGCATTGACGCCCCTCCATCGTTGACCAATAGGATGTAGTCCTCTCCCTCGCCCTCCCCGCTCTCCACTCTACGCGGTACCATGGTTGTGTGTGGTGGGACAAAACAGGAACAGAGGGGGGTGAGGAGAAGGAAGCGAAAAAGGAAGTGAGACAGAGAGCAGGAGCAGCGGCTGGATGGGTGATGCAAGCATTGAAACCCCTCCTCGTTGGCCAATAGGATGTGATCCCCCCCCTCGCCCTCCCCGCTCTCCACTCTACGTGGCGCCATGGTTGGAGGGAAGTGACGGGGGAAGTGGCGGGGAAGGAGGTGAAAGCGAGGGGGGAAGTGAGACAGAGAGTGGGAGAAGCGGGCGGTTGAGTAGTGAAAGGGTGGAGGAAACGTGTGGGGCAATGATATGGTATGCTGTCGTATGGTTTGGTATGGTGTGGTGTGGTATGGAATGGTATGGTATGGTGTGGTGTGGTATGGAATGGTATGGTATGGTGTGGTGTGGTATAGAATGGTATGGTTATGATACGATATGTTGGACTTCTGGTATGGTATGGTACGATATGGAAGGTTATTGAATATGGGCAAAGCACCACACAGCACAGCACCACACAGCACCGCGCACCACCGCACAACATACCGTGTCAGGGCACGGCCTGAAGAGCCTGCATTTCCTTCTCTCCCCCCCTGAACGTCCTTGAGCTGCTGCTCCCACACGCTGTTGGCAAAGTCGTTGCCCACTATGGCCATCAGCCGCACCAGTGGTGCCGTCCACACCTTCACATCTAGTGTCAACGAGCGCACCTGGTAGTGGGAGGTGTGGGGGAGGGGGAAGGGAGGGAAAGGGGGGGAGGGAGGGAACAAAAGGGGTTGGCGCCTCAAAAGGAGGGGTTGGCGCCTCAAAAGGACCACTAATGGCTATCAGCCGCACCAGTGGTGCCGTCCATACCTTCACAGCTAGTGTCAACGAGCGCACCTGGTAGTGGGACGCACAGGGTGCAGAAGCACAGGGGAGGGGGAGGGAGAGGGCTAATGAAGGCGGGTCAGAAGTTCCTTCTATTGCTATCAGCCGCACCAGCGGTGCCGTCCATACCTTCACGTCTAGTGTCAACGACCGCACCTGGTGACAGGGAAGCACAGAAGGGGGAAGTCGCGGAGGGAAGGGGGAAGTCGCGGAGGGAAGGGGGAAGTCGCGGAGGGAAGGGGGAAGTCGCGGAGGGAAGGGGGAAGTCGCGGAGGGAAGGGGGGAGTCGCGGAGGGAAGGGGGAAGTCGCGGAGGGAAGGGGGAAGTCGCGGAGGGAAGGGGGAAGTCGCGGAGGGAAGGGGGAAGTCGCAGAGGGAAGGGGGATGAGTTTAGTAAAAGTCGTCTCCCAAGGCTCTTTCGGTGACCATAAGGCACACATCAGTAGAGCTGTCCACCACACCAACAGATTCCGGTGCACGCCAGAGCAGTCAACGCGGAGCAGCCAATGCAGTGCAGAGCAGCACGCAGAGATTGAGCGTCGCCCAGTCGGGGTGGGTAGGGGTGCCTTATACCATGACCTAATATTAGGCACACCCCGCCCCGGCTACTGACATCTCTACTGCTAAAAGCCCACGTACCACTTGCGATTTTGGCTCAAGCATAGAATGAGTTGCAAGCATAGCTTGGAGCGGTGCACCCCCAAGTTCCTCCTGTGTACGCCGGAGCAGTCGATGCAGAGCAGCACACAGAGGTTGATAACGCGCAGTTGGTCAGGGCGGCTCATACCATGACCCAATTTCAGGCATCCCCCGACCCGGCTACTGAGCTCTCGACTGCTTAAAGCCCACGTGCCACTTGTGAGTTGCAAGCATACCTTTGAGCGATGCACGCCCAGGTTCCTGTGCACGCCGGAGCAGTCGATGCAGAGCAACACACAGAGGTTGAGCGACGCCCAGTCGGGGTGCCTCATGTCATGTCATGGTTACGCACACCCAGTGACTCAACTCTCCACTGAAGGCTGAACGCTATAAATCATATACAAGCATACCTTGGAACGATGCACGCCCAAGTTGCGGTGCACGCCAGAGCAGTCGATGCAGAGCAGCACGCAGAGGTTGAGTGACGCCCAGTCGGGGTGCGCCCGGCTGCAATCGGCACAGCGGTCGTTGCCGCTGACATAGCCCAGCACCTCCAGTGGTCGATCCACTATGGGCAGCGCTGCTGCCTGCCCGTCTGGTGATGATGCCCGGTGGGAGATGGTTAAGTCGGCCACTGATGGGGCCGGCTGGCGGGGGGAGCAGGGGTAAGGGGAAGGGGAAGGGGAAGGGGAAGGGGAAGGGGACGGGGGCAGGGAGGAGGTGCAAGAGGAGTGGGAGATGGGGGAGGGGAAGGAGGGAATGAAGGAGGAAGATCCGTTGTCATGGCAGCTGGCATAGCCCAGCACCTCCAAGGGCCGCATCCGCTATGGGCAGCGCTGCTGTGGCCTATGAGGGCTGCCCGCCCTCCTATGCCTCCTGGTGGGAGATGGTTAGATCCGCCACTGATGGCGCTGGTTGGAGTGGCGAGTAGGGGGGTGGGTGGAGGGGGCGGGGAGGAAGTGCAACAAGGTAAAGAAGGGGGAGATGGGGGAGGGGAGGAGGGGAGGAAGGGGACGAGGGGGAGGGGGAAGGGGAAGACCAACGTTGCCACATGGTGCTGGGGATGTCACTGGCATCGAGAAAGCAACAAGTGGGGGGGCAGGGGAGGAGGGTGAGAAGGGAGGAGGTGAAGGGGGAAGGACGAAGGGGGAGCAGGGGAAAGGGGGGAGGGAAGAAGGGTAAGAAGAGATGCAGGGCAGGAGATAGGAGAAGGGGAAAAAAGGGAAAGGAAGGGGAAGAGCAACGTTGGCACATGGTGCTTGACAAGTCACTGGCATGCGAACATGGTGCTTGACAAGTCACTGGCATGCGAACATGGTGCTTGACAAGTCACTGGCATGCGAACATGGTGCTTGACAAGTCACTGGCATCCGAACATGGTGCTTGACAAGTCACTGGCATCCGAACATGGTGCTTGACAAGTCACTGGCATCCGAACATGGTGCTTGACAAGTCACTGGCATCCGAACATGGTGCTTGACAAGTCACTGGCATCCGAACATGGTGCTTGACAAGTCACTGGCATCCGAACATGGTGCTTGACAAGTCACTGGCATGCGAACATGGTGCTTGACAAGTCACTGGCATGCGAACATGGTGCTTGACAAGTCACTGGCATGCGAACATGGTGCTTGACAAGTCACTGGCATCCGAACGCCACGTAGCGATGGTAGAACAACTTTTGAGGCGCCTCTAAGGGCAGGTCGTTACAATGTCACAGGGGCCCATCGCACATGCAGAAGCACATGCAGGAGGAACGGTATGCCCAACCCAAGCACATGGTGTGTGTGTGTGTGTGTGTGTGTGTGTGTGTGTGTGTGTGTGTGTGTGTGTGTGTGTGTTCGTGTGTGTGTGTGACCGAGCAGTTAAACAGCAGGCATTCAGTCAGCAAAACAAGGATGCATCGTGCACTGGCTTTCAGAAGCAGAGCAGCAAAGCGAGTGGAGGAGAATGAGGAGGAGGGAAGGCACCTGGGCGGTGGTGTGGGAGGCACCTGGGCGGTGGTGTGGGAGGCACCTGGGCGGTGGTGTGGGAGTTGAGCAGCGAGGCAATGACAGCCGTGATCTTCTCCATCCAATCCCTCTGCTCCGCTGCACTCTCCGCCTGCCAATGCCACCCACATGCACATACACGTGCACATACACATGCACCCCCGAATGCACAGGCAACCCCGCAAGGTACAGGCAACCAAGCATACAAACGAGAGCACAAACGGGGACACACGAGTTGAGTTGAACAGTGAGGCGATGACCGCCGTGGTCTTCTCCATCCATTCCATTCCCTCTGCTCCGCTGCACTCTCCGCCTGCCAACGCCCCATGCATGCATATGACCACATTCGAGCCAATGCCATGCATACAAATGACCACGTTCGTATGCATCACCACATTCTTTCTGATTTTCCAAACGAATGCGGCCACGGTGGTTGGTGAAAGAGAAAAGAGGAAGAACGGCGCCGACTGCAACCACCATACTTGCTGCAGGGTTCACCTGACTTTAAGACTCCACCTGTTGTGTGCATTTATCACAACTGTTCACCTAGACTGTGCCCCATCCCTTCCCTTCACCTCACCTGCAGCGTGTGCGTGCAGTCGGGGGTGACGAGGCGGAAGCAGAAGCGCAGGTCGGGCTCATCAGCGTCCATCTTGATCGTGGCAGTCAGCAGATTCAGCGACTCGTACTGCAGCGCGTGGCTCCTCTCCTCCTCCTCGCCCATCCCCATCCCCCCCATCCCCGCCCCCATGCCCATGCCCATTGCGTCTGTGCTATGCTCGTCCCCGCCCTCTTCCCCGTGCCCCCCGCCGCTGCCCCTGCCGCCCAGGCCGAGCGGGCGGTAGTGCTGGGCCATGGGGTTGGCGGGCGGCGGGGCGGCAGGGGTGGCGTCGGTGGTGCGAGCGCGGACGAGGGAGAAGAGCGAGGAGAGCGTGTCGGAGCGTGCGTTCTGACGGAGAGGGGAGAGGACGGGGAGAGGACGGGGAGAGGAGGAGAAGTGGGAGGGTGCAAGGAAGGAGGAAGAAGGCAAGCAAGGATTACCAGACAAGAACAGCTGTGAATGGGGCGTGGATGACCATGGGAGCACTTGAAAATGACAGGTTCAGCGACTCGTACTCGGACATGGTAGGCACTTGAATTGAAACCCCTTGTGGTTGGCTTGTCAAATATAAATACTAGTTTCGAAAGCTAAGAAAGACCACTGAATGGAGCATCTCCTAAGTCACACACACCTGAGCATCCTTGTGATAGTAAAGGGAGCCCCTTGAATCGAGGACAAAGAAGTGGCGCGAGCGGGCGGCAGCAGTGCGCCTCACGAGGTACCCCTGCTTGATCACCTGCACCTGTGGTGTGGTGTGGGTGTGGTGTGGGTGTGGTGTGGTGTGGTGTGGCATGTGGACCCACACAGCATGAAGGGGACATGGGACGGGAGTGTGGTGAGGTAGCATGCTCTGTGTGACATTGGAGTGCACTGGTGAGGCTTTTATTTGTGAGAAAAGCAGGCAGGGATGGAGAGAAGGGAGAGGGAGAGTGGCAACATGGCAGGAGACACGATCAAGGCAAACAGAAGCAGCGGCGACGTGCCAGTGGTATTGCAGCAGCAGTGGTGCAGCAGCAGCAGTGGTGCAGCAGCAGCAGTGGTGCAGCAGCAGCAGTGGTGCAGCAGCAGCAGTGGTGCAGCAGCAGCAGTGGTGTACATCCCGCCCTCACCTTTCTCTGCCCACCAGCGCCAGCACGCATCATCTGCTCCACACTGCTGGACGTCACGCCTCCTGAAGGCCTATACGGCCCCCGGCCCTGCCCAAACCCCTCCCCGCCCCCCGCTCCCTCTGCGCCCCCCAAACCAGCCCCAGACATGCGCCCTCCGCCTCCCCGCCCCTGTGCGTGCGCCAGCGCCTGTGCCTGCGCGTGCGTGTGGGCTGCCTCCAGCTGTGCGCTCTCCTCCTCCTGCGTGCGCCGGAACTGGTAGATCCGCTCTGCTAGCTCCGTCTGTGCACGTTGAAAGAAACAGGTCACACAGACATGCACAGACAACGGGTTGAGGAGTAGGCAACAGAAACCCTAAACTCTCCTCCTCCTGCGTTCGCCTGAACTGGTAGATGCGCTCTGCTAGCTCCGTCTGAGAGAGTGAGCGGATGGAGGGGAGGGGTTGAAATAAAAGAGCAGATTGACTTGGGTTGGAATTAAACGTGCGGTCTTCTGGGAGAAGAGGCATAGACTGAGTTATAGAGAGGAATGTTGAGGCAAGGAGCAAAGGCAGGAATGTGGAGATGTGCATGCTATGGTAGCATAGGCATGGAGAGCTTTCAGAGATGAAGGCATTTAGATGCGCGCACGCACGCACGCACGCACGCACGCACGCACGCACGCACGCACGCACGCACGCACGCACACTCACACACACACACACATGCACAAATATGCAATCACACCTGCGCACACAAACACGCACCTGCTCCTGATTGGCCTGTTCCTGTGCTTGATGAGAAAACGTGAGGACCTGCGAGAGCGGGCGAGGCGTGGTGAAATTGAGAGGATTAGTGTCGGCTGGCTGTGCATTAGAGCATGCGGAGGCAATGGCAGAGCCTGAAGATGCGTGTGAGGGCGGATGGGCACAAGGGAAGAACATGGTAGGATGATGTAGGAACATGGGGACCCGGGTCAGAAGGATAGGGAATATGAGAAGGGTGTGGATGATGGGAACAATAAAAACCTGTGAGTTGCGATACCATGGCCGGGATGAGATGAGAAGACATGAAGATGGAACGATGGCACAAAAGAAGCCGTTGGAAAATCACCGATATACAGCATGCTTCCTTGTCTCGGGTGTTGGTGTGGCCTAACCTACCCAACCCTACATGCAAGCAGCAACATCGCTCTCGGCCCAACACCCTTGAGAATCACCTGATGGATGTACGGCTCCACGGCTGATGGAATCATTTTAAGACGACTCACAACCAAACAATCCGCCCCCCACCACAGCACCCTGGAGAATCACCTGATGGATGTACGGCTCCACTGCTTGCAGCAGCTCGTAGCCCTGCCGTGTGGAAGACAGCACGGTGGGAGAATGGAATCATTCACAGGTTGGTGCAACACGAGAACGGGAAACATTGGTGTGAAGCAGTGGGCAGGTGACATGCGCAGAACAAGCAAGTGCAAGTGCAGTTTGTCGCGGATAGGTTGCAGCTGCAGTGCCGCTTGGCAAACTTTCATCTCAAGCCCACCAAATGTGGCATGGGTTGGTTGGCACAATGTATTCATGTGGCAGCAGCATGCAGGCATGCTGCACTCTCCATGTGGAAACATTTTTGTGAGCACATCTCCTTACACGGAGTATGAGTATGTATGCGGGTACCTACCTGTTTGAAGTGGCGCAGGTGGGCGCACATGTGCATTCGACTAAATAAGTGCACAAGATGAGCACGCATGTGAGCATGCGCACGCATGTGAGCATGAGCACGCATGTGAGCATGAGCACGCATGTGAGCATGAGCACGCATGTGAGCATGAGCACGCATTTGAGCATGAGCACGCATGTGAGCATGCATGTGAGCATGAGCACGCATGTGAGCATGAGCACGCATGTGATCATGCATGTGAGCATGAGCACGCATGTGAGCATGAGCACGCATGTGAGCATGAGCACGCATGTGAGCATGCATGTGAGCATGAGCACGCATATGAGCATGAGCATGCATATGAGCGTGCGTGTGCACAGCTGCTACCTGTTTGAAGTAGCGCAGGTGGGCGTGCACAGCAGAGCCAATAGACTCGAGGAACACGTGCTTCTTCTTCGCCTCTGCACTGCTCAGCGCTGTCATCTGCTCCCAGCACCAAACAGGCAGGAAAGAGGGAGGCAGGCAGGAATTTTCATAGATGTGCACAGATACATCCACCCCACTCCCCCCCCCCCCCCACACACACACACGCACATGCACGCACACCCCCCCCCCTCCCCCCCTCCCCACCCCCCCACACACAAACACGCACACACACACACACACACACACGCGCGCGCGCGCACACACGCACACACACGCGCACAGACACACACGCACACACGCTCGCGCGTGCGCGCGCGCGCGCGCACACACACACACACACACACACACGCACACAGCACAAGGAGGATCGCGCATGGCAGGGACGGAATCAATAGAGTTGCAGGGGAAGCATCGTTATATCTGAAGCTGAAGAGAAGAAGACCCTCATAAGCTGAAGAGAAGAAGACCCTCATAAGCTGAAGAGAAGAAGACCCTCATAAGCTTAAGAGAAGAAGACCCTCATAAGCTGAAGAGAAGAAGACCCTCATAAGCTTAAGCGAAGAAGACCCTCATAAGCTTAAGAGAAGAAGACCCTCATAAGCTTATGAGGTGGTGTTTGGAGGAGTTGTTCACATCACATTCCCTTACTGTGCTGTGCCTATTCATGCCCTTCATAAAGATTGTGCCTGCCTGCTCAAACGGCAACTGCATGCGCATTGAGTGGAGCCGTTGCACTTTCATAGATGAGTGGAGCTGAGCTCACTCAGAAGAGAGCTTCAGAAAGTGTTTCTTGAGATGAATTGAAAGTGCAGTGTGTTCTCGCGTGTGCTTTCAGCCAAGTCAGAACAGAACGGGGTCGTGAGGGCAGGCAAGGGGAGAGAGCTCACAAGGTTGAAGCGCGCCTGCTCAAACTGCATGCGAGCCGTTTGCAGGTCCTGGTGGAAAAAGGGGGGTGAAAGGGGCAAGGGTGTTGGCACAGGCATGAGGGGCTGCATGCGAGCCAAGCGAATCCCGGTGGCACAGGGGTTGAAAGCAAAGGGCCGTGACGAAAAGGGTGAGGGGATTGCAGGAATTGTGATGAGCACGGGAGGGGCATGAGAGGGGCCATGGGAAGGGCATGGGAGGGACATGGAAGGGGGCATGTTAACATCTCGAACTGCAACGTATGGATTTAATTCAGGTATGATTGCACTGCAGCAAGCAGGCCCCATGCTGTGAGGAGGGCAGAGAGAGGGCGAGCAGGAGAAAAGGAGAGGGAAAGAGAGAGCAGCGGTGTGGGTACGACGGAAGGAAGGCTTGGGCGGCAAATCCTCAAACACTTCCCTTCCCTCCTCTCAACACCCTCCTCCCATCCACATCTTCCCACCCACCTCCTCCACGTCTCCACTTCCCCCTTTTCTCCCTTCCAAGCTGTGCCCACATATCTCTGATTTCTCAAACTCCCCTCTCCTCCCCCTCGCAGCAGATTTCCCTACACTTCCCAGTCAAACTCAAACCAACCCCCTCTCACCTCGTCGGCCTCCGCCGCCACTTCAGCCTTGATGCCCTTCTTGAGCGACAGGAAGCGCTCCCGCATCTGGTGAGGGCATGGTGTGGGGGGGATTATGGGGGGTGCAGAGAGAAGGGGCAGAGGGGGTAGGGGAAGTGTCTGCAAGCAAGGGAGCCAATCAACACTTCAGCCTTGATGCCCTTCTTGAGCGACAGGAAGCGCTCGCGCATCTGGTGAGAGTGCACAAGTGGGGGGCAGGGGGGAGGGGTGGAGGGGAGGGGCAGAGGGGGTGAGGGGAACGTCTGTTAGATATCCCAAGACCACTTGGGCTTCAATTCCTTTCTTGAGCGACAACAAGAGCTCCCGCATTGGTTGAGAGTGCAAAAGGGGGGTGCAGAGGAAAGGCAGGGGTGGAGGGGGTAAGGGGAATGTGGGCAAGAGAACCTAGATGCAACCACTTCGGCCTTAATGCCAGTCGGCGTCTTGAGCGAAAAGAAACGGCCCGCATCAAGAAGGGGAGAAGGTGAGAACGCGGAGGGAGGGGGCAGACGGGAGGGAAGAAAGTGTGTGAATGGGTTTGTGGAAAGAGTGGCAGAGGGTGTTTGTGAGACAAAAACTTCTAAGGCGACTTGAAGAAAAATCAGCGTCTGGTGCCTCAGCTCGCCCTCAGGAAGAAGGCTCAAGTCAGCAGCACGCACCACTTTTGAGAGCATTGGCTGGGCACGTGAGAATGTGCAAATGGAAGAAGGGAGCTGGAGTAGGAAGGAAGGAAGAGGGGCGTGGGGCGAAGGAGAGAGCCAGGCTCAGGAAAGTATGAAGGAAGAAGAGTGTGCGGTGCGACGGCTGGGAGCATGCATGATGGCAGGTGGGGAATTGCGGGATGGGTGAACGGGAGCTTCTTCCACTGGGCCAAACTGAAATTCAGAGGTCCACGATCCGCCATGCGCAGGCCAACCTTGAAGGTGCATGGGTGCATGGGTGCATGGGTGAATGGGTGAATGGGTGAATGGGTGAATGGGTGAATGGGTGAATGGGTGAATGGGTGAATGGGTGAATGGGTGAATGGGTGCATGGGTGAATGGGTGCATGGGTGCATGGGTGCATGGGTGCATGGGTGCATGGGTGCATGGGTGCATGGGTGCATGGGTGCATGGGTGCATGGGTGCATGGATGCATGGGTGAATGGGTGCATGGGTGCATGGGTGCAAGGGTGAATGGGTGCATGGGTGCATGGGTGCATGGTGCATGGGTGCATGGGTGCATGGGTGAATGGGTGCATAGGTGAATGGGTGCATGGGTGCATGGGTGAATGGGTGCATGGGTGAATGGGTGCACGGGTGAAAGGGTGCACGGGTCCATGGTGCAGCGATAGGGTGGCTCGGAGCAAGGGCAGAGGGGGCAGTGCTCCTTCCTCACCTGGTCATACTGCCGCCCAGCCTTGTCATAGCGCCGCCGCACCTCCTGATGGCACGCATGGGGTTATGGGTGTGGACGGGGTGGACGGGTAGATGGGATGGGTGAATATCATGCGTGAATGGCATGGGTGAATGGCATGATGCTGTTATGCATGTTGTGAATGTGAGCGACCTTGGGGTTGGACGCACTCAGCAGCATGAGCACCTCGACTCGACCTCAGCTGCACCCACGCACCCATACACCAGCTGCACATAAACCAGCTAAGGAAGGAGGTGCTTCCAGGACCTCTCAGGTTCCAATCCAAACAGCCTAGAAAACCGTGCTGTGACTTGACAAGTTCACAACTACGCTGGGACCTAACAGGCCTCCTCACAGTCAATGGCAGCACACTTGGGGCAGCTGGAATGGGTCATCGTTAGTCAACTCGAGAGTTAACGCGAGTCAACGGCCGGCAGCGCACCTTTAGGTTATTGAGATCGTTCTCCACAAAGTTGGTGATCCTGTCATGCAGCACGTGCTCCATCTGCACAGATGGGGTGGGCCGGGGGGGGAGGGGGGAGGTATATGGTTTTTGAGGCACCTCATAACCAAATTGGTGGAAATGGGGGGGATGGGAGGATGTGGTTGAAGGGGCGCTGCAACGAACCAAGTTGGTGATTCTATCATGCAGCACGTGCTCCATCTGCACACACAGGGAGGGGTTGGGGTAGGGTGGGGGTGGGTTTTTGGGAGGGGAGATGGGGGTAGGAAGGGAAAAGTCACCTCTACGAACCTAGTTGGTGACTTTTCCATGCAGCACGTGCTCCATCTGAACACGCGCACGCCATGCCGGAGAGAAAGAGAAGTTGGGGAGTGAAGAGTGTGAGCCCCAACCTAAACCTCACCTCCCCAAACTCCCGCCTTGGTTGCTCAACCCCCGTGATTTGCGTGCATGCATTTGTGCAGTGCACTAGGTACCACAAGCGCCTGGACGGGACTACGCATGCAATGGATGTGCACTGCACTGTGGTGTGGTGTGGTGTGGTGCGGGAGACGCGCTGTGCTTGCCTGTGATTTAAGTGTCTCCTTAAATATGGTGAGGTCGCGCAGCGTCATCACGAACTGCCCCAGCACTGGGCCTGAACGGGATACCAAGGGTTTAGGGCGGAGGTGCATGGGAGAAATAAAGAAAGAAGGGGAGGAGCGGGGGAGGAGGGGAGGGAGCGTGGGAGAGGAGAAGGTGATAGCAGCACGCGTGCAGTGCAGTGCAGTGCAGTGCAGTGCAGTGCAGTGCCATTTCACCGAAGTCTTGCAGGAAGCATAACAGACAATGAAGATCGGGAAACTACCTTCCTGGTTTGAGCTGGTAATACAACAACAACAACACAACGCGCAACAATCTGCAGTGAGAGTGTGTCCTCCTGATCCCTGCCCACTGCCCACTGCCCACATAACCCTTGCTGCCGTCAAGGCAGCCCTGGCACAGCCTCTGGGTGCAATCCACTCCACTCCACTCCACTCCACTCCACTCCACTCCACTCCACTCCACTCCACTCCACTCAGTGCCTCACTGCCAGTGGCGATGCTGACCGCGTCCCTGGGCGCTCCAAAAACAACTAGCGGGTCAGAGATACGACTTTTGAGGCGCCTCACAAGTGGGAGCACCCATGATTGAACTCACCGCCAGTGGCGATGCTGACGGCGTCCTCGGGAGCTCCAAAGAATCGCTCCATGGCATGCACGAAGTTACTCTCAGCCTCAAACGACTCGCCCAGGGATGCCCTGTTGTGTTGGGTTGGGGGAGAATGAGAGGATTAGAGGAACAGGTGCGTGAGAGGTCACGCACTGAATGTAAAGTCAAGCATGCAGTTGGACAAAGGCAATCTCCGCCTCAAAGGACTCGCCCAGGGATGCCCTGCGGCGTGGAGGAGGGAGAATTGGATTGGAGGGTGAGTGAGGAGGAGCAACGCAGCGAGTGTTCCTCCAGTCAAGTCAAGCATGCAGTAGGAGGAAGAACCGCCTGGAACGACTTGCCCAAAGATGCACTGTGGTGTAGGCGGGAGAGCCGGAAAGGATTGGACCAGTAAGGGAAAGGGTACGTGAGGAGTCATGAACGAATTGAGGGTCAAGTGAACCACGTGGTGGGAGCGGGAGGAAGAGCCGCTCCCTAGCGAGGCGAGTACGAACGCGCTCTCTGCTTCGAACAACTCGCCCAGGGACGCGCTGCTGGGGAGGGTGGGGGCAAGGTAAAGGAATGAGGGTTTGGGTAGCCGCGAGGGGTGCATGAGGGGTGACGCATTGAGGATGGCGTATGCGGTGGAATTTGGGGCACTTGTGTGCACTGAACACACGCGGACGTGTGCACACGTGTGCACTGGAAATCTAATTACAGGCCTGGTTGGGAACGCACTGGCGCGGTGAGGGGGCTAAGAAGCAGCTGATATGTGACGCTACAGATTGGACACGAGTGGTTAAGGAATAGGCAAGATGAAGCAGCAAGGCGCGGCGACTCACGCGAAGTCGTTGCAACTGCGAGCGAGCTGGCAGCAGCGGTCCCTCAGCAGCTCGAGACTCTCCTCCAACGACGCCAGCTGCGGGGAGAGGAGAGAGGGATGCGGAGAGGGATATGGACGGGGCGAGGGGGCAGGGAGCGAGGGGCATCAGAGATGAGAGCGAGCGAGCTGGCAGCAGCAGTCAGTCCCTCAGCAGCTCGAGACTCTCCTCCAGCGCCGCCAGCTGCGGGGAAGGTCGCACAGGCACGCGGGGAGGGGATGCCGTGGTGAGGGTTACGAGGAAAGAGGGATGCGGGCAGGGCGATGCGGGGAGGACGATGCGGGCAGGGCGATGCGGGGAGGGTGATGCGGAAAGGACGATGCGGGGAGGGTGATGTGGGGAGGACGATGCGGGGAGGGTGATGCGGGGAGGACGATGCGGGGAGGGTGATGCGGAAAGGACGATGCGGGGAGGGTGATGTGGGGAGGACGATGCGGGGAGGGTGATGCGGGGAAGACGATGTGGGGAGGGTGATGTGGGGAGGACGATGCGGGGAGGGTGATGTGGGGAGGACGATGCGGGGAGGGTGATGTGGAGAGGACGATGCGGGGAGGGTGATGTGGGGAGCACGATGCGGGGAGGGTGATGTGGGGAGCACGGTGCGGGGAGGGTGATGCGGGGACGACGATGCGGGGAGGGTGATGTGGGGAGGACGATGCGGGGAGGGTGATGTGCGGAGCACGATGCGGGGAGGGTGATGTGGGCAGGACGATGCGGGGAGGGCGATGTGGGGAGGACGATGCGGGGACGGTGATGCGGGGAAGGTGATGCGGGGGGTGATATGGGGTTTGAGTCATCTCATCTCAAAGCTGGCGCAGCGGTCCTCAGCAGCTCCGAAGTCTCTACCAGCGACGCCAGCTGCAAGAGAGTTTTGGTTGCGAGGAGGGCCATTAGACCAAGGGGAACCAGCACCTCTCAACGCTCGACGCAATGAGAATTAGCGACAGAAAGAGAGAGCGATCGGTTTCACATTTCTAACTAATGATGGCAATGCGACGACGTTTCGTCCAGCTCTCGCGCGAGAACCGCTCCGATACTACCGATCCAAGCCAAGTGAATTATCCGACCTAAAGAGGACGTACGCGACCGATATACACGGAACGAAACGGAACGGATTATGCGGCGTCTCTCGCTTGTAACGAGCTGACTTTTGAGTCTACTCAAAACGCATGGGTCTCTCGCCTGTAATGACGGATAGGGGTAAAAAGGGTGAATTTAATGCATATTCCTTCGATCTATCACGAGCGACGAGCAGAGAGGAGCGGTGTACCTGCTTGCGCAGCATTGGCGTGTCGTCTAGCCGCGCGAACAGCATCTTGGTAGTCTGTTGTCAATGGGAGTGGGTGCTTCGAGGTTGGCGATTGCGAGAAAACCAGCACGATAGAGCGACGACGGCTGACGATGCTACTACACGACGATACGGGGAGAGACAGCACAAGGTCATAAAATATCCTCTCTGATGGTCTGGTCGCAAAGCTAGGCCGAACACTGGCTGCTGGTGCGGGCCACTTGGTTTTCTGGCAATAATATCAAGACTGCTGCTTCTGCCAGCTTGTCTACCAACTGCTTTTTCGGAGACTGGGGAGTTTCGATTTGGGCTGACATGACACGCCTGGCATTGGGATGATCGCGTGGGATGAGGATGCAGGAGTTTCGTGAGAGTTTCAGGAGGTGAGGTGGGGGTATGGAATGATAAGTGTTGTGCCAAACAGCAGCAACTAGACAGTTTACTAAGTGTGCGCTGACTTGCCAAGAATATACGAATTTTGACTCTCTGACCCGGCCTAGCCCGGCAATGTACGTTTCTATGTTTCTGGACTAGACCACGAAAAAACAGGGTAGAACCTCAGAAGGCCGAGGCATTGAGTTCCCTCTTTTCCATCCGACTCACCAGATTGCTGCGATGTCCGTCGGATCGCTGTTTCGATCAAAACAGAAAATTCTCGTTATTATTGTCCTTCTCCATGAACAAGAGGGTAAGACAGTGAACATTAATATTCAGTATCATCTAGAACAGCTGGAATTGCTGTAAAAGCAATGGTTACAACAATGAAAATCATATCGTCTATGGTGAAATTGAAACTTTTTTGAATCCATGAAAGCAGAGTTTTGCAACTATTGCCCATGATGACTTGTATGTGGCACTCGAGGCCACTGTCAGACGGAACATAGAGGTGAGGAAAGTAGCGTTCACCAGCATGTTCACTACTATGCCCTTGCCGCTTGACGTTTCGTATGCCCACAGCAGCACCCAAGCTCACTCCTAGCCGTAATGTCGAGTCTATAATACATGAAGCGCATGCACCGGCCACTTGACTTGTGACCCGACAGCTCGCTGCAGTAAGACGTATACTTCTGATTCATAACCAACAGCACCACTTCTCCAGCTCCACATCAGGAAAGTTGCTCCGCACGAGTACAAGCAAGCCGGGACCTGCTCTAATCAGCCTCAAACGAGGTAACTTCTTGAGAGGTGCCACCCCCATTCCTGTAACCATAGAATTTGATATATCCAACTCTTCCAAAGCAGGAAGATGCTGAATGTGCTCCAGGCCAGCATCAGTGATCAAGCTTGGAAGAACAAGCACTTTGAGCCTGCTCAAAGGTGCTAGAAACTCCAGTCCAGCATCAGTCACACTGGTCCCCTTGAGATTGAGATATTTGAGGCTGCTTGCAGCCCCAATGCCTTCCAAGCAACTGTCAGTTACGTTATCGCTGGTCAGCTCTAGGCTTTCAAGCTGCTTCATGTAGAGGTGCTTGATTCCCTCTGGGCTGAACGATGTTGACCCATCGAGAGCAATGTGCTTCAGGTGAGACATCGTGGACACATGGAAGAGGATGGCTTCTGAGAGAAAGGCAGTCCCTTCAGATCCAACGTCGTGGTCGCGTGGATCCTCTGCAATCAAGGGAAAAGGAGGGAAGAAAAGGCCAGAAAGAGCAACAGTAAGAACTATACCAAAAGGCATATTAAATTTCTCCATTATCTAGCAATCAACGCTACGCTACCATTCTCGTACTCACCTGCCAAACTGTTTTATGAACGCCTTCTCGCATCCTGAGCTCCTCTTCAACATCAAACTCCACATGCTTCGGTGCTGCTGAGGACTGCACGACTACCGCATCATCCCAGCTCACATCTTTCCCCAGCTCCTTCACCTCCTCCTCCTCCGAAGCCAACTTTTCCTTTTCCGCTTTCTGCAAGTACACCTTCTGTTCAGCCAAATCCTTCCTCGTTTCTAACAGGAACGTTTTCAGCGCGTCCAATTCCCCTTTCACAGTCGCCAGCTCACCCCTTGCTGTAAGGAACTCCCCCCTTACTGCCACCAGCTCTCCCCGCAATGATAGAATCTCCCCTTTCACTTGTGCCAATTCTGCTGCCCTGCTCCGCTCAGCCTCCTCCAATACCCTTCGTGTCTCGTCCAGCTGCCCTGACGGCTGGAAAGTTTGGGAACGCAGGGGTTGGAGGAAGAGCGGTGGAAGGGGGGAAGGGGGTAGTGAGGAACAAAAGGTGTGATTCACGGGTCCCTGCTCATGCCGCCCTCGTGTTGCTCGTGCTACTTGTGCGGGTCGCGCTACTTGTCCGGCAAGCGACAGGAAGGGAAAGGGCAGGGACGAAAACGGAGGCAAGAGAACAGAGGTGGAAGGGAAGGAAAGGAAAGGGAAGGGAAGGGAATGGAAGGAACGGAAAGCCATTTGTTGATAGACCTCTTACCTCTTTTCAAAGTATCCGACCTGTTCAGAAACATGTGCAACGGGAGCAGAAGCCGACGAGTCCGATCCCTCCGCCACCTGCTGCTTACACGCGCCGCTGCGCGACCCTGCCTCAGCAACTCCTGCTAGTGTCGACGATGAAGAAACAGCCGCCGCTGCTGCGAACGGCCGGAGCGGCGGCATCCCCCCTATAGGACGCGGCGCTGCTGCTCCGCTACAAGCACGAGACGCGGCGCGACGAGTGGTGTTTATAGCGGAGCGGGTGGAGCTGGGTGGTGAGAGGCGAGAGGGGACGGAAACGAGGCGGGATCTAGCTGCTCCACCACGGACGGAGCCCGTGGCATGCGCGAGCACCATGCTGATTGGTTGACGCTCGTGTCCCAAGCAGGTTGGGAAACACACGTGCGCCATCTGTACCTGCCTTATTTCAAACTTCCGTTGGAAATATTCCGTTCGAGATATAGAGACCCGCAGTACTGGAAGAGTTGAAACGGGAAGAGCGATCACAGGAGGCGAATCTCACGCATAAAAGGAAGTGAATGGGGGCATCCCAAAGTAGTAGACGCGAACCTGTATACTATGTACTATAAACGTGCTGTGTACTTACTAAGTAGCTACTCCTCTCCTGGGGGGTATGTACGCATATGTGCTGATACATACAAACTACTACTCACCGCAGCGTGGAGTAGGTACAATGTACCAACCCTGCTCCTACTCCGCGGGGGTGGGGAGTTCCCACAATGTACTTGCTGTGTCGCAACGCTACCTTTGAGGTTGGCTGGCCGCTGGCCATGCAGTACGGAGTGACTCGGTAGTAGCCAATTCGAAACAGTCCGTATAATAACTAATTACAGTGTAGCTACTACGCCCAGCATTACAGGGTAACACATGTTACAGCATGTAACACAACGTAAATTGAATTCAATACACCACATATTGTGCTATAATTAATATCCAGCCAGGTTTTTTTTCCAATAAAAAATAGAAACAAAAAACACAAACAGCGGCAATAAACCGTGGCATCACACGGGAGCAAAACCAATAGCACACACAGTCTAGGCCTCCTCATCCTCGTCTTCCTCGCCTTCCACGATTGCACCAACATCTGCAAAATCCTTGTCCTCCTTCTCATCCCCCACAATCTCCTCCGGCAGACCCCTCACTTTCTCCAAGGGTGGGTACTTGATGAAGACGTTGAAGTGCTTGCCAGGGTAGCCAGGAAAGGATAGCCAGGGTTGGGGAGGATGAAGGGGAAAGTCGAGCCAGGGTGGGGAGGGAGAAGGGGAAGGGATAGCGAGGGTTGGGGAGGGAGAGTGGGAAAGGCGAGCAAGGGTGGGGAGGGGGAAGGGGAAAGGATAGCCAGGGTGGGGTGGGAGAAGGGGAAAGGCAATCCTGGGTGGGGGAGGGAGAAGGGGAAAGGATAGCCAGGGTTGGGGAGGGAGAAGGGGAAAGGCGAGCTAGGGTGGGGAGGGAGAAGGGGAAAGGATAGCCAGGGTTGGGAGGGAGAAGGGGTAAGGCAAGCCTGGGTGGAGAGGGAGAAGGGGAAAGGATAGCCAGGGTGGGGAGGAAGAAGGGGATAGGCAAGCCTGGGTGGAGACGGAGTAGGGGGAGGAAAGCCTAGGTCACCAAGGCTGGGTGGGAGGCAGGTATTGCGAAGTTGAGCCCGCGAGAGGCATTGCGCCCTGGCTGTAGCACGGGGGGCGGCGAGGGCAGCCCCAGATAGCGCGCTGGGGGAGATGGGGAGCAGTGAAGGACGGGGGACATGGACGGGAAGCAAGGGAAAGTGGGGGAAGGGGGGTGGGGAGGGGGAAAACGGGAGGGAGGGGAGGCGGCTGTAAAAAGGTGGGCCCAGCAACGCCAAAAGCCCCCTATGCTACCCTCACAAGCCTTCATACACCCACTCCCTCCCCTCCGTTCCCCCCATCGCACCACCCGCCCGTACTGCTAAGTGTAATGCAACCTTAAAAAAAAACCTGCCCGTACTGCCACCCTCACAAGCCCCATTGGCAGCAGCACGCACCCAAGTAGTCGACCTGCAGGCGGCCATCGGAGAAGTGCGCTGACGCCTCGATGTAGCTCATGCCGTAGGGCGGCAGGTCAGCACGCAGGAAGCGGTGGGAGCCGTCGTGGTTGTTGCCCACGTCCACCAAGGAGTCGCCAAACAAAAAGAGCACTGTGATGGGTGAACGGGTGAGGTTAAGAGTGTCGAGCAGCGCTGCTGGTGTGAATGGGGGGAAGCGGGGAGGGAGAGGGGAGGGTAGTGGTCAGGGAGAAGAAAGGAGGTGAGAGAGTGGGGACGCCACGGTCATCGCCGTTACAGAAGCTCTGGACGGCCACGGTCTCGCGGACCTCGTTTGCGCAGTCGAACTTTGAACGCGCGCACCGGAGTGAGCGCGACTCGCGCTGTATCGAACTCGACCAAAGCGGGAAAAAGGGAAGGGAAGTGATTGCATTGTATGTGGAAAGAGAGAATATATGGCAGAATGCAATCATACAGAAGTTACGGTCGTTGCTATGGGTCGCGTCATGATTCGAGCGCATGCGAATGCTCACATCAAGGTCGTCGCTCAAGCATGGGCCTTCCTTGGGACTCGTGCACAGGGACAGCCCCCAAGCTCCACAGTCAAGTTCGGCACGTCACAGGCGGTCTGCTTCGACGTCGTGTCTCTCCTTTCATGGCGCCGCATTCACCGCTTCGTGTCTCTCCTTGGATTGTGGCGCGCTGCTGCCGCACTGCAGAAGTTTCCCGCCGAGCATCACTATCACCACAAGGAATGAGTGCATTGAGCAGCGTGAGGAGTACACGTAGTAAACCCTAACACTACTGTACCCCATAAGGAGTGCCCCACTATAGCCTACAGTATAGTTCTAACACACCCCCATAGGCAAAGTGGGGGACAAGCAAGAGAACAAGGCAAGGTCAAGCTCAGGGTGGATCACAACGTCACCACGCATTCTGAGCACAAGTACAAGGCCACAAGGCCAGTTCACATGCAAGATTATAAATCAAGGTGAACAATCAAGACAGTTATCTCAACCTAGCAAGGGTAAGCAAGCGGGTGCAGGTATATATAGATCACAGTACAAGCAAAGTCAAGAGGTAAGCAAGTGAGACCAGGTAGGCACAAGACCTAACATAGTACAAAACCGCTGATGATTACAAGGCTGAAGTGCCTTGGTAAAGATATCAGCAGTGTTGGCCCGAGAGGCCACGTAAGCAAGGCGCAGCTGACCACGCTGCTGCAACTCACGTGCAAGGAAGTAGCGAAGAGCAATGTGCTTCGTTCTGTGCTCCAGTCTGTGCTCCCGACACAAGGCCAGCATGGCCTTGTTGTCTACGCACAGAACTGGAGGAGAACGAGGCGGCTCTCCCAGGTCGGTCAGCAGGTAGGTGAGCCAGCGTAACTCCTGTGCAACCATGGCCCCTGCGTAGATCTCGGCCTCGCAGCTGGAGCCGAGAACAGAAGACGAGCGGGTAGACCGCCACGAAACAGAGCCGGAACCAAGGCTGAAGGTGTAACCCTGTGACGACCGCTGCGTAGCCAAGTCGTCAACCCAAGAAGCGTCTGCGTGACCAGTGAGGACAACTGGACTCCGCCCTCCAAGCACGAGCCCCATGCCCGACGTACTGCACAAGTAGCGCAACACCCTCTTAGCTGCATCCATGTGCTCTGGTCGGTGTCTCCCAGGAGCAACATAGCGTGCCAAGATGCTAAGAGGGTATGCCAGGTCAGGTCGAGTGCAGGTCATCAGGTACATGAGGCAGCCAACAAGCTCTGGGTACGGGCCACTCGGCTCTACGGACTCATCCGAAGGAAGAGTTGAGAGCGAGTGGCGAGTAGACAGAGGAGTGGCCTGAGGCGAGGAGTACGTGAAGTTGAAGCGCTGAAGGACCTGCTGCACCATGTGTGACTGAGTCAAGGTAATGGTGCACCGTGCTCTGTCCCGGGTGATCTGCAAGCCAAGATAGCTGCGCAGTTCACCCAGGTCTGTGCACGTGTGTCTCTTCTGCAGCTCCGACTTCACGTGGGCGAGTCCAGCAGTGTCAGCAGTGGCAAAGACCAAGTCGTCGACGTACACGAGGATGTAGAACGGCGGCAGAGTAGTGTCGGTGCGGAGAAACAGCGACGGGTCAGCAGTGGAAGGAGCAAACCCAAGAGTCGCAAGCGTAGTCCTCAGTGTGTCGTGCCACTCACGGGGCGCCTGGCGGAGACCGTAGACTGGCCGCCGGAGGCTCCACTGGGTACCTGGAGGAAACGACCCAGTGAAGCCAGGTGGGCGGCGCAGCCAGATCTCCTCGTGCAGGCTGCTCCGCAGGAAGGATGTGCTGAAGTCAAGAGAGTGAAGCTCGTAGTCACGCTGAGCGGCGACGTGCAGCAGCACCCGAAGAGTGGTCATCTTCGGGGTGGGTGAGAAGGTCTGAAAGTAGTCAACTCCCTGCCGCTGACTGAAGCCTCGAGCCACGTAACGCGCCTTGAAGACAGGCGGAGAACCCGGCGGCCGCTTCACCCTGAAAATCCACATGCCACTCACGATGTTCGCCCCAGGTGGGGGAACCTCATCGACGTAGGTGCCTGTGGACTTCCAGGAAGCCATCTCTGCGTCCATGGCTGTCTGCCACTGAGAGGAGTAGGGACCCTCTATCGCCTCTGCGTAAGAGCGCGGGGTCGGGATGTCTGGTGCTGCACGCCAGGTGCTGCTTCGGAAGACCCCCTGCCTCCCCAGGGTCCTGCTCCCTCAGGTGTTTCCCAGGTAGACCCGGTCGAGCCTGTCGAGGTAGCTGTCGACTCTGGTCCTGCGCGAGGTACTGAGCGTGCTGAGCCTGAGCGTGCTGAGCCAGAGTGTGCTGAGCCTGGTGGTGCTGGGTCTGGGGGTACTGCGACTGGGGGTGCTGAGCCTGGGGGTGCGGAGACTGGGGGTGCTGAGCCTGGTGGTGCGGAGACTGGGGGTGCTGAGACTGGGGGTGCTGTCCCTGGGGGTGCTGAGTCTGGAGGTCCTGAGCCTGGGGGTGCTGCGCCTGGGGGCGTTCTCTCTTCCCAGCAGCTGCGTGAGTGGTACTCTCGGTACTGTCGCCGCCGCCGTGGTGCTGTGGGAGCTGGAGGTGCTACAGCAGCTGGAGCCAAGGGCGCTGAGCCTACTGGAGTTGGTGTTGCTGCTGACCCTGGGGTTGGCGCTGGAGGTGCTGGAGCCACTGGTCCTGGAGGTGCTCGTACTGGCGGTACTGGAGCTGCTGGGACTGGGGGTGCTACTGGAGCTGCTGGAGCTGGTCCTGCTGGAGGTGCTGCTGGTGCTGCTGGAGGTACTGGAGCTGCTGGAGCTGCTGGTGGTGCTGCTGGTACTGGGGCTGGTGCTGCTGGAGGTACTGGCGCTGCTGGAGGTGCTGCTGGTGCTGCTGGAGGTACTGGAGCTGCTGGTGGTGCTGAGGGAGTTGGAGCTGCTGCTGGAGGTTCTGGTGCTGTCTCTGCTGGTTCTGGAGGCACTTCACGGCCACAGCCGTACTTCGTTCCCCTCCTTCAGCAGGTTCTTAGTCAGCCGCCTCCTCCTTGTCCGGCTCCCTCCTTAGAGTGTCCTCCGCCTGTCCAGTCGCTGTCACAGCTACCGCCTACCTCGCCACTCCCTGGTCCTTCTCCCTACACTGGTCCGACAGGCGGTCTTAAGGAGCGTCGTGAGCCTGAGTCTCGTCTTGTGTCGCCTGAGTCTCGTTCTGCGTCACCTGTTCGTGCTGCTCGCACTGGTCGTCGTGTCCCGCGTCAGCGTCCTCCTGCTGTCCCAGGCACTCACCAGATGACGCTTCGTCTTTCCACTGCTCCACAGCGTGTCCCGCTGTCTGGTCTTTACCTCCCCTCGTTCTCTACGAACTTGGTGAGTGGTGCTGACCTACAGGATGCGGGGGTTCACCAGTTCACTCCTGCGAGTCAGCGGGTGACCCACTGCACGGAAGCTCGGACAGGCCGACACCTGGCCACGTTTATACGTCGGCCGGGGTCGAGCCTGTACACACTGACCACTGCGTCTCCTCCAGTCACTGCGTCTGGTCAGGTAGCTGCGTCGGGTCAGGTGTTTGCTGCAACGTCCAGGTCTGGTCCTGAGTCTGCCCCCTGTTGGTGTCGCCTCCTGTCGCACGAGACTCTCCTCTGGCACCACCGCCTTGGTCACCCCTCCCTGCTTCGTCTCCGAGGCATGGCCTCCCGTGTCCTTGTCTCTGGTCTTCCCCGGTCCCTCCCTCCCCTTCCTCCGGGGCCAGGCCCTACCTGCGTCCCTTGTGTCGAGGGGCGGCAGCGGGCTGCCCCTCACTCCTCCCAGTTTCCTCCGACAGAGGCCCCACTGCAGACGCTTCACATGGACGTGTGGGGCCCGGCCCGCGTCCGTGGACAGGGTCACTAGCGCTACTTCCTGCTGGTGGTTGACGACTACTCGCGTTACACCACAGTCTTCCCCTTGCGCAGCAAGGGTGATGTCACTGAGGTGTTGATCGACTGGATCCGCGCAGCTCGTCTCCAGCTCAGGCAGAGCTTCGGCTCGGACTTTCCTGTTCTGCGTCTGCACTCTGACAGAGGTGGAGAGTTCTCCTCTGGCCTTCTGCGAGCCTACTGTCGTGCACGAGGCATCCGCCAGACCTTCACGCTTCCGGACTCTCCACAGCAAAATGGGATTGCTGAGCGCCGCATTGGCATGGTCATGGACGTCGCCCGTACGTCCATGATGCATGCGGCTGCCCCCCATTTTCTGTGGCCGTTTGCGGTTCGGTACGCGGCGCATCAGATCAACCTTCACCCCAGGGTCTCCATGCCGGAGACCTCCCCAGCTTTGCTGTGGACGGGGAAGGTTGGCGATGCGTCTGCGTTCCGTGTCTGGGGATCTCGGGCGTTTGTCCGCGACTTGTCTACGGACAAGCTGTCCCCTCGTGCTGCTCCTTGCGTCTTCCTTGGCTTCCCCCCTGATGCGCCAGGGTGGCAGTTCTACCACCCCACCTCTCGCCGTGTTCTGTCCTCCCAGGACGTCACGTTTGACGAGTCGGTCCCCTACTACCGCCTCTTCCCCTACCGCACTCCGTCCCTCCCCCCGCCACCGCTCTTCCTTGTGCCAGGTCCCCCCCCGGTAGACCCCCTCCCCCCACAGGGTCCTGCCCCCTCAGGTGTGTCCCAGGTAGACGCAGTCGAGCCTGTCGAGGTAGCTGTTGACTCTGGTGCTGCTAGGGGTGCTGAGCCTGCGGATGCCGGGTCTGGGGGTGCTGAGCCTGCGCGTGCGGAGCCTGGGGGTGCTGGGTCTGGGGGTGCTGCGTCTGGGGGTGCTGAGCCTGGGGTTGCTGAGTCTGGGGGTGCGGAGCCTGAGGGTGCTGGGCCTGCTCGTGTGGAGTCTGGCGGTGCTGGGCCTGGAGGTCCTTCGGGTGCTTCGTCCCAGCGGGAGCTACTCTCTCCACAGGAGCTGTGCGAGTGGTTTGCTCAGCGCTGGAGCCGTGCTGCTGGAGCTGGTGGTGCTGCCGGCGCTGGAGGTTCTACTGCAGCTGGGGGTGCTGGAGCCTCGGGTCCGGAAGGTGCTCG